ACAAATAAATAATGCAACACGTAGAGAGGGGGCATAATTTGACCCACTGAAGTCGACACGCAACCACTTAACACATTTGGTTAACATCATAAGCATCAATTTCCATAGCAACCCACTAATACATCAGTCAATTAAGTTCGCAACTTCATAACAAATGGGTACCACATCCGTCAAAGCAGCTCAAGCAGTAGCATTATTGAGAGACCTGAGCCAGAGAGCCGTGGCAAATCGACTAAATTTAAGCCAATCTGATGTGTCCCGAGTGTATCGTCGGTACCAAAATACTGGTGATTATGTCCGCCGACAAGGAGGAGGTCGTAAACGAATAACAACAGAGAGAGATGATCGATTTCTTGTATCTAAATCTCTGAGAAATCGACATTTGACTGGTGCTAATCTCAAAGAAGAGCTTAGAGAGGTCCGAGGTGTGGTTACCAGCGTTTGGACAGTCAGAAGGAGACTGAAAGCAGCCAACCTGACACCAAAAAGGGCAGCTACTGGTCCCAAGCTAACTCCAGCCCAGAAGCAAAGACGACTAGAATTTGCTCGCGAACATCTGGATTGGGACGACTATCAATGGAGTCAGGTATTATTCTCCGACGAAAGTAGGATCTGCCTACATGGCAACGACAAGAGGCGTCGAGTCTATAGAAGGCCAGGGGAACGATTTGTTCAATGTTGTATATGAGAAATTGTGTCATATGGAGGCGGTTCTTGTATGTTTTGGGCAGGCATTTCCTTGGATGGGAAAACCAAGCTGGTTTTCGTGCCTGGTGGGGGACGTGAAGGAGGTTTAACGGCGGATCGTTACATCAGAGATATTTTGGAGGAACATGTGGTTCCATACGCGGGATTTATTGGTAATGCCTTTATTTTATTGCATGATAATGCACGATGTTATACCGCACGAGTCACCTATTTGACTGAGATCAGTCAGAAAACAAAATGCATGATGATCTCTAAGAAGGAACAGCAATTTGGACAAATCAGTGTAAACGGTCAACAAATAGAAAGAGTAAAAACATACACCTACCTTGGTACGAACGTCAATGAAAATTGGGACCATTCCATAGAAATCAAATGTAGAATAGAGAAAGCAAGATCTGCATTTCAAAAAATGGCTAAGTTATTCAAATGTCATGATTTATCAATGCCCATAAAAATCAGGTTATTACGATGTTACATATTTCCTATACTGTTGTACGGAGTTGAGTCATGGACTCTCACAGACGCCACCTGCAAGAAAATTGAGGCTTTTGAAATGTGGCTTTATCGTCGCATCCTGAAGATATCGTATACCGACCACGTTACTAATGAGGGTGTTCTGTTGAGAATGAAAAAAGAAAAAGAGCTGTTAACCACAATAAAAACAGCCAAAATCGAATACCTCGGTCACATCATGAGGAACAGCGAAAGATATGGACTGCTGCAACTAATCTTGCAGGGAAAAGTAGAAGGAAAACGGGGACCAGGAAGGCGAAGGATTTCCTGGCTGAAAAATCTACGAACGTGGTTCAACACAACAACCACAAATCTTTTTAGAGCAGCAGTGTGCAAAGTGCAGATTGCCATGATGGTCGCCAACATCCGAAACGGATAGGCACTACAAGCAGAAGAACAGCCCTGACATAAATCCAATAGAGCATGTTTGGGATAAGCTTAAACGAAGGGTCCGGAGCAGAAATCATGCACCAAGGAGCATAATGGAATTGAGAGCTGCGCTTAATGATGAATGGGAAGCAATGCCTCAAGAATTTATTAGAAAAGTCATCCGATCCATGCGAAATCGATTGGAAAGTGTAATTAGGAATAGGGGTGGTAATATCAGATACTAAAGAACAAAAAAAATTATTTTGTAATTTATGATTTCTCTGTTCATTACGTCTTTCTTGGGATAGTTCCAATGATGAATATTTGAGAAAATCTGTTCGTATTGCATATTGTTTTTATAATGAGTCTTCCAAATAATGAAATAGCAGTTTTTGTAAGTTCAATAATAAAGTTACTATTTGCACATTACATCTTGTTATTTTCATAGTTCTTACATTAAAACAGAGAACTCTTAAAAATAATGAAAACACGGAAAACCTCATATTTGGGACACATATACAGAAATGAGAAATACCAGCTACTGCAGCTTCTTATAGAGAAGGTAGAAGGAAAACGTGGTCCTGGTAGACGGCAGGCGTCCTGGTTGAAGAACATTCGTGAGTGGGCTGGTTTGGATTCTCAATCTTTAATAAGAAAAGCCAGGGACAGAAATGATTTTGCTGAGGTTATCGCCAACCTTCATTGAAGACGGCACCCAAAGAAGAAAGAACATTAAAACAGAAGGTGTAATCTCAAATATCGCTTTTGAGTCGATTGTTTTGCAACTCAAGTGTAGTTTTTATTTCTTCTGTGATGCCATTGTCGTTATTAACACTTGTTCCCAAATATTTATATTTGGGCACCCGTTCGATTTCGTTATTGTGAATGTACAGGTTTGCATTCAATCTTTGTTTTTTTTTAAATAATCATGAATTTCGTCTTCTTGACATTCATTGTTAACCCTTTCTCTTCACTAGCTGTGACTACCTTGTTTAAAATGGCTTGCAGGTCTTCTACTGTCTCCGCCATTAAAACCGTATCATCTGCGTATCTAATATTATTAATTGGTTGGCCGTTAACTTTTATCCCAATCTCTTCTTCCTCCAATGCTTTCTTCGTAATTTTCTTCCGAATAAAGATTAAATAGAATTGGTGACAGCACACAGTTATCAAACGCCTTGTTGTAATCAATGAAACAAGCAAATACATCTTGATTCACATCCAAACACCTCTGTGTCAAGATGTTAAAGGCAAATAATGCTTCGCGAGTTCCATATCCCTCCTGGAATCCAAACTGAGTTTCTCCGATATCTTCTTCCAATTTTCTGTAAATTCTATTGTGAATTATTTTGAGGAATATTTTTAAGGTATGGCTCATCAGACTGATCGTGCGATGATCACTGCACTGCTTAGCATGTGCCTTCTTGGAAGAGGGACAAAGGTTGATCTTAGCCATTCTTCAGGAATTATACTGTTTTCATAAATCTTGTTAAATAAGTATACTAACAAATGGATTCGATCTTCGTCTATCAACTTTAGTATATCCGCTGGTAGCTCGTCTGGTCCTGGAGCTTTGCTATTCTTTGATGACTTCACCGCTTGCATTACTTCTTCTTTGCTTATTTCTGGACCTGTCTCCTCTGGAAAATTATCACAAGGAGGCTGCCTTTGATCGTCAAACAGTTCTTCTATGTATGTCTGCCAATGTTTTAGTTTCTCCTCTGTTTCCATTATCATGTTCCCTTGTTGGTCTATAAGTACTGTCTGCTTCCTGTTTCTATTGTTGATAATTTCTTTAACTTTCTTGTGAAGATAGAACGAATCATATTTGGCTTCCAAGTTTTCAATCTCCTTACATTTGTCTTGTAACCATTGTTTTTTAGCGTCGCGGATTTTTCTTTTGATCTCTGTGTTAATTTGCTTATACTGTTCTTCATTTTTGCCTTTCGATAGTCTTCGAGAATTCATCAATAACAAAATTTCGTCACTCATCCATTCTTTCTGTTTCTTTGGTTTTTCTCTCTTCAGAATATTTTTAGCGGGCTCCAGCACGTTCTTTTTAATAATGGCACAGTGTTTATTAATGTCTAGTTCTGGTATCTTCTCTGTCTTTTCAAGTTTTTCAAGATTTGCCTGAATGCTTGTTTCTACCTGATATTTAATTGTTTCATCATTTAAATGATTGATAACTATTACTTGTTTGGGCTTAGGTGTTTAATATGGTCTTTAGTGTCTCCAGGAGATTTCCACGTGTATACTCGTCTTCTTGGTAGTTGATAAAATGTGTTTTTAATTAAAATAATAAAATTATTTTCCTGGCAAAATTTCAACAGCCGATCGCCTCTTTCATTTCTTTGGCCGAGACCATATTTTCCAACCCATTTGCCACATTCTCCTTTCCCTATTTTCGCATTCCAATCTCCCATTATTATTGTAATGTCTCTAGACTTAACAAATTTTAGTGTTTGTTCAATGGTTTTATAATTCTTATGTTACAATATGAAAATCCTGAATTTTTGAAAAACTTTTTTCAAAAGTTCAAAAATTTCACAAATTGATTTCTGGGCTTTACCAGACCAGATGAAGTTCAGGAAGTTTCTTTATGTAGTGCAAAAGTGAGTGTCTGGTGTGCAGTTTCGGGACACGACATTATTGATTTCTAGTTTATCGAAGAAAATGGTAGGCAAGTCACACTTAATCAACAGAGGTACATACAAATTTTAACTCGCTTTATCCCTGATCTACGTCGATTTTGTCGTGCACGTAATTTGACATTTCTAGACCAATTGTTCCAGCAGGATGGCCAACTTGCCAGACTGCTGTCGCAATTCATGTCAATTTCTTCAGGAACATTTTTCAAGCAGATTCATTTCACGATTTACTGACTTCCCTTATTCTTCACATTCTCCAGATTCACATCTCCAGAAGCATTCATTTGGGCATAGCTAAAACTGCCATTTTAAATGGGCACCACAAACCATCGATAAATTAAAGGTGATAGTTATAGCCTTCTTCGCAGATCTGAGACTACCCTTATTTCATAACAACACGATAAACTTGGAACATCGGTATGAAGTATATCTTGAGCGAGGAGGAGCACATTTAAAACATTAATAAAGTGTCTATAATATGTATTTCTTAAAACAATAAAATAATTACAAGTTCAGTACTGTTTATTTTGGGCTAAACTGTATTAAATCTTTAAATTATATTCTTTCTGTCACTTATTCCGACATTTGAATTTTATTACACTCTACTGACCTGCTGAAAACGAATGCATGTTTTTTACTTCCGCATAGAAATCACTGGTGAGTCACATTCGGTAATAATAAGATTCGTTAAACGTTATTTAAAACATGCATATGTTATGGAGATTAACAAATATTTCAAATAAATCAATAAGTGTAATATTAAGTACAATTATTATTATTAATATTAGTAATATTTGTACTGACCTGAAAAGTCATTTGGGAAGCAAAAATTAGTTTATCACATTCAAATAGTCCTCTCGTAGTATATTGAAAGACGGAAAAAGTAATGCAAGATATTAAATTGTTTACTCTTGTCGTGACATCTTCGGCTTGATCTGCTCTTGAGATTGCTTTTTGAAATACTACACTGAAGGCCTACAAAATATCTAGATAAGTAACAAAAAATACATTATATACGAGTACATTTCTAGGAAAGGATTAAGGGAAAGTTACAGTTCAAATTCTCAGCTGATTCCCAGAGGAAAAAATGATTGTTTAAAAATAGCTTGTCGTCATTACACCCTTACGCTGCAACCGTTTTAGGTAATAATAATTTCTTAAGCATTACACCTGTTATCTTCATTGTTTACGGTAAAATTCATATATTACAATATATTTCTTCTCGAGCTTATATAATATTTTGGAAGAATATAAACCACCCTGGGTGACTTATTTTTACGAAATTATGTAAAGTAAAAAATAAAATTGTCATCCGTACAAGATGGGTACTATTCTAGTCTTTACACAAAAGGCAACCTCTAAAATCATTAAGCACTATTTTTTTATAGGTAATTCTATTCAGATCATGGATGAAACCATTTCTCCAGTAATACATGAAATAACACGGAAATTATCATGTTATACTAAATATACATACTTCCTACATACTCATAATGCAAGTTTACAGTTTTAGACGTTTATTAAGGAAAAAATTAGTTAGTTGATGCCATCATCATCTTCTCTACATCTCATCAACTATATATTTGACTTCCACTATTTGGTGGTACTTATTGAATAGCTCGAAATGATATCGACGACGTCAAGTTCCATTGTCATTTATTGGGGTTAATATTTTGCTGAATACTTTACTCTTGAATATTGTTAGTACAACATATGCTGCACCAATTTAGTATAACCGCCAGAAAATTTAACATGTTCATTTCCCCAAAAAAAGACAAAATGCATGGTTATAACAGCAAATTTGCTAAGATGTAAATTGGAGCTGGAAGGTGAGATAATAGAACAAATGATGAAGTTTAAATATCTAGGCATCACATTATCTAGCTACGGAAAGCTCAAAACAGAAGTGGAAGATCAAATGAATAGAGCAAACAGAGCTGCAGGTTGCTGAATGAAACAATATGGAGAAATAAAAATATCGGGAAAGAAATGAAAGGCAGAATTTACAAAACAGTCATCAATAATGACATAAGCAGCAGAAACACGACCTGACACAGAGAAGACAAAAAGGATTTTAGAAACAGCAGAGAGGAAAACACTTGATAGTAAAAAAGAAAAAATTGATAGTAAAACACTATGGGACAGAGCTAGAATTATCAATATAAGTAACCGAATGACAACAAATAGAGTAGTAAAGACGGCAAGAGACGGTTCCCCAATAGGAAGACAATCAGTAGGAAGACCAAGAAAACGATGGAATGACAACTTCTTCTTTAAGTTCCATCTTCTATTGAAGGTTGGAAATAATCATGGCTATGCGGACTCTGTTGACTGCCGCTCTAAAAAGTTCTGCACTACTGCATTCAAACCATTCCCTTAAGTTCTTAAGCCAGGATATTCTTCGTCTTCCCACATTTCGCTTTCCTCGGATTTTGCCCTGCATAATAAGTTGTAATAATGCGTATTTTTGCCCTCTCATCACATGTCCCAAGTACTCAAGTTTTCGTCTTTTAATAGTTAATATTATTTCCGCCTCATTTCCTATCCTTCTAGTTACTTCCATGTTTGACATTCTTTGAATCCATGATATTCGTAGGATTCTTCTGTAACACCAAAATTCAAAGGCGGCCAACTTATTCAGATGAACTTGTTTTAGTGTCCAAGCTTCCAAACCATAAAGAAGAGTAGAGAACACGTAACATCGAAGCATTCTCAGGCGTAGTTCTAACCTTATATCCCGACAACAAAGAAACTTTTTAAGTTTAATAAATGATGTACGTGCTATTTCAATACGTGTCTTAATTTCTTTGGTTTGGTCTACATCTGATGTTATCCATGTTCCTAAGTATTTATAGTTATTAACACTCTCAATTGCAGTATCTTCAATAGTCAATTGGATATTTGCATGTGCAGATTTAGTCATGATCATGCATTTAGTTTTCTTTAAATTTATCTTCAGTCCGTACTCATGACAGCGTTCATTAAGGCGTTGCATTACGTTCTGTAAATCATTGTTGTTATCCGTAATTATTACTGTATCGTCTGCAAAACGTAAGTTATTCAAAACTTCTCCATTGATAGATATACCTTCTATTGAGTCTGAGAGCGCTTCTTGAAATACCGCTTCACTGTAGACATTGAAAAGTAGTGGGGACAGCACGCAACCCTGGCGGACTCCTCTCTGTATTTTGATATTTTCGGTGTACTGGCTGTCAACTCTTACCTTGGCAGTTTGATTCCAATATAAATTAGATATAATTTTCAGATCACGACTGTCAATATTTTTGCTTTTTAATATATCTACAAGCTTTTTATGTTGAACTTTATCAAATGCCTTTTCAAAGTCTACAAAACATAAATACATATCCTGATTCGTGTCCATGCATCTCTGAGCCAGCACGTTCAAGCTGAACAAAGCATCTCTTGTACTCATATCATTTCTAAAGCCAAATTGTGTGTCACTAATCTCATATTCAAGAGTTTTAACAATTCTGCTGTGAATTATTTTCAAAAATGTTTTAAGTGTGTGACTCATTAAAGCTATTGTTCTGTGGTCTGAGCAAGTTGTTGAACTTGGTTTTTTGGGAATTGCTACAAAGGTTAATTGCAGCCATTGTCTGGGGATTGTGGCAGTCTGATATATTAGATTAAAGAGTTCAACCATTACATTAATAACATCTTCATCGATGAGTTTTAATAATTCGATGGGCACCTCATCTGGTCCAGCAGCTTTACCCTCTTTTGTGTTTTTGATGGCATAGATGACTTCTTCTCTTAATATTGGTGGTCCGGTATCCTCGATGATTTCTAATGACAGTTCTTCTCTTTCATCATTAAATAGTTGTTGAATGTAATTGGTCCAGTGACATAATCTCTCCTTCATATCAGTAATAATATCCCCTTTATCATTTTTAAGGATATTCGTTTTTGTACGCTTTCTAGAACCTGTCATTTCTTTGATTTTTTTGTGTAAATTAAAGCTATCGTACTTTTTATCCAGATCTTCTATTTCCTTGCATCTGTCGGAGAGCCACCTCTCTTTTGCCTCTCGAATTTTCTTTCTGATGTTTCTCTGAATTTCTTTGTATTTATTCAGGTCTTTTGCTTTATATTTTCTTCGTTCTTCCATGAGTTCAAGAATTTCTACTGTCATCCAAGCTTTTGTTTTTTCTTTAAGTGGTTTGAGGGTTTCTTATCCAACTGACACGAGGGCATGTTGACTTTCCTTAAGCTCTCGTTTATTTTAAATTTGGTTTCCACATATGTGTTGTATTGTTTAAGACGTCTTGTATCCATGATTTTCTTGGTACTAGGGCTGTTGACCTTCTTTAGTTTCACTTTCATCGACAAAACAACCGGGTTGTGGTCGGAGGATATGTCCGCTCCTGGATAAGTTTTAGATGATATATAATTTCTATATCTTTTGTTGACGATAATATAATCTATTTGATTTCTGACTATTTTGTTGTTATTGTCAGCTGGTGACCTCCATGTATATAGTCTATGTTTAGGAAGTTTGAACAAGGTATTTGTAATTATGAGTTCCTCATTGACACAGAAATCGACAAGCCTATCGCCACGTTCATTCCTTTCCCCGAGTCCATATCGCCCCACGCAATTCTCCACTTCTCCTTGGCCAACTTTAGCGTTCAAATCGCCCATTATGTATATTAATTGACAACATATATTAATGACAACTTACTGGAGACATATTGAAAACAAACATAGTCATGTCTATATACAAAGAAGAAGAGTAATCTTTTTTTTCAGAAAAGTTATATCTTTTAAAATCCGTTTTCATAATTGCTCCAGCTCTCGTAGTTTATTACTAAATATTTCTTTTTGTAGTTTGCTGGGAACCAGAAATAAAAATTTTGGTTTCATAGTTTTTTCTCCACATAACTTTTAATCATGAATCTTAATCTATTGTCACTTGCAGTTTTCTGGCTGCACTAACCATTGAACAAACAGACGGACCTCACAAAACTAAAGGACTGCCTTTTTTTAATTCTTATTTGGATGCAATTATCTCAATAGCTTTTTAAAATGAGTTTTTTGGGGTCGATAAAAGCAAAATTTTGTAACACTGCTCTTACGTAGGTATAATCTTTGTAATTAGCACAGAATGGTTCGGAATATGAGTATGTATTATTTTTACGAATAATACTCACCTTTAACGAGAATTGGTAAATTGGATTTATAGTATTCAATTCGTTTAGTATAAAGTATAGCAAGCTAGCTCTAGCTGCAGCTGGTCTATAATGTTCTCGAGCTTGATCTATCTGCACAGATGTAATTTTCGCTTCTGCTACTTTTTGTTCTATTTCAGCAGCTGTACGTTTTGTAGTTTCTAAATTTTCAACCAAAGTGGTGTCACCTAAGATGTTACCTCCAGCAGATGATAATCTCGATAGTAGATCATCTTCTAATGACTTCAGAATGATTTTAAAATCGTTTTGTTGCTTAGTAAGATCAGCCTACAATAATATAAAACTTGTTTTATTAATACACTTAAAATTAAGTCTTTGAAATAAAATTTATGCATTAGTGAAATAATATAATTTTAAATATCTTATAATCTATTTAAATATATGTATCTACAGTATAAATTCATCGAGCAAAAAGACAAAAGAGGGAATGTAAAGGTAGTGGGGGCAAAAATATTGTTAGACAGAAAGTGCGATCTTTAGAGGCCACATTAAACAAGGAAAGAGAGTCTCTCTCCTTGTTTGACATCAAATTTAGTTGGGTTATGTTATTGTTTGTCCCAAATGTCACATGAAATCTTATTTATATTGAAGTTTTTTAACAATTGTGTCGCATTTTAGACTATTATCGTTAATAATTAATTAAAACTTTCTCGTCTAAGACACATTCTGAAAAATATTATACAGCTACTGTTAATAAGTGTCTGAAAATTTAAATTTGGCGCATTCGCATTTCCGGATATGTCCGCCATCAGAGGCCACTTTTTTGGTCTCCTTTTCATAAGGATTAGATTCCCTCTTTTGTCTTTTTACTCGATGATAAAATTATGGTCTTTCATCTGTTGTTTGTCGGGACTTGTATATTATGTTAAAAAAAAGAACAAAAAATTAATGGTGTTCATTAAAGAGTTCTAAAGTTTCTGTGTACAGGTACTTTTAATTGTTCAATTGCCTTTTTAATTATTTTTATATAATGCAGAATATGTCAAAATTGTATGATTTGAGAATTAAGATCAATAGAACAGATATAAAAATAAAAAAAACATAATAAAATATACGTAATTACTTTTTAGAATTTCATATGAAACAAATGATTACTTACCTTTAATTCCTCCAAATCTGGTCTTTCGGCTTTAACAACTTCAGCAAGCAGTTGATCTTCTAGCCCATCTCTGGTTACTGTAAAATTAATCAAAGTCGCCTGTGCTTGCATTTCCGGTTTATAATGGGGGTTTGCCAATTTTGTATGAAGAATTAATCGAAAGTTTTGATTGTATTCTATTTCTTTGTCTCCTATTTTAATAGCTCTAAAAACAAATAAAAAGTTATGTAATGCATGTAGCAATTTTAATGCTTTTTTATAAAGAAACGAAATGCGGTATCAGACTTGAAGTAAAATGAAATATGGCATCGGTCTAACTAAACAGTGCCAAAATCTAGAAGGGCGAGAAATTGCCCAAGCAAGTGGAGTTTAGTATATTTAGTTTGATTGTCATTAATTGTTACGTGGACATTACGATTACGTTACAGTAAAAATATTTATCATTGTCCTTTATCTGCTTTTTCACTTTCATGATAAGCATCTTAGGATGCCTTTTCATTACATGTCCAGATAACTCCAGGTGAGGAACCGGGAAAAGAATTAGAGGAGCCTGGGGCGTACAGGCCTATGTGCCTATCTTAGGCAAGGTCTTTGAGATTCTTGTAACGACAAGGTTGGAGTGAAAGATAATAGGAAACGCTGGCATATACGTGCACATGGATGGCGGCTTTCTTACTCGATATAAGGAATGCTTTTAATAGTGCTTGTTGAAAAATTATCGTCAGACAACTTGGGGATATCTCCGTATCTGCAGAACTTTGATTAGGTTCATCTTCACAGATAGATACATCAACATTGCGAGGGGTAACTCTATGAAGACCACGGAGGAAGTGCCGCAGGCTCCGTCATGGAGCCATTACTTTGGAATGTTCTGTATATGTTTTGGAGACACACCTGGCCATTGGTTTACAAACAATAGCATATACGGATGACCTCGTGGTGCTAGTGGAGCACAACGAGAATTGGTTAATCATGCATACAGAGAACCGATCCCGCCAACAAAGTGAAGATGTAGATAGAAAGCAGGGACTTCAAGGGTCCAGGGCCAAAGACTATGTAATTTTTGTCTTGGAGGAAGAAAGGATCTTACCTGCTAAAAAATAAATAAATAATAAATACGTCGTTTGCAGAGCAGGAGAGAACTGCGGTGTTGACAAGGATTATGCTCAACGTGGCAGGACCAGGGACTGCCAAAAGGAGAATTGTATTGAAAGTGGTCCACTCTATAGTATTCTACGCAGCACCGGTATCGCAACAAGTGCTTAACATCAAGAAATATAGCAGGATGCTAGGGAAAGTCCAAAGAGAAGTACTACTAAGATGTGCATACGGAACAACATCAACGGTGGTCATACAAGTAATCGCGGAAGTGTTACTAATCTACATGATGGTAAAGTAAAAGGCGAAAACCTATGGAAATCGTGAGTAGCAAAAAATATTAGCTAGGAATAGCAGCATAGCGGAGTGACAGGAAAAATGGACAAATGAGCATAAGTTGGCCTGAACTAGGGAAATAATTTCAAATATCGCAGATTGGATGAAGTGCGGGAATAAAGACACTAAGTGATCGCGGGTGTGTTATTCATCTACCCGATGGTGAAGGAAATGGGGGAAAACATACGGGAAGGATGAGTAGGAGAAAATATTAGCTAGAATAGCAACATAACGGAGTTGCAGAAAGAATGGAAAAATGAGCATAAGGCGGCCTGAACGAGGATAATAATTATTCCAAATATCGCAGAATGGATGAAGTGCGGTGACACAGACAGTAATTACGTCTCCATCCAGTTCCTAGCAGAGCACGGCTTCTTCAGAACCTACCTGGAAAAAATAGGGAAGGTTGAGGATGGAACCTGCACAGACTGTGGAGTGACTGATACGCCTGAGTATTGAGTATTCGAGTATAGAATGTTAAACGAAGAAATAAAAGAATTACACAGGAAGGTAGGTAGGGCAAGTGCAAATACCATAATGGAGGTAGCAAAGAGGAAAAAGACTGAATACAAGGTAATACTAAGTAAGTCGAATAATCAGAAAAAGGAAATAGTAGAGAGGGATTTGCAATAAAGATACGAGAGAGAGAAAGAGAGAAGACAGGCTAGTCATGAGACACGGTAAGAGTAGTCTGGTTAAGGGGATTGACTTTAGTTGGTAGGCAGAGTGCTATGGGTGTATCTGTGAGTACGACTCCTCTGAGGGTATTTGTAAAGATTTACCACCTCCCTTCAAAAAAAGGTTATCACTCCATCTTGCTCTACCCTTCCTGTATTGCTTTGGTCCTTCAGCCTTTTAGTTTCTGTATCTGTTGTATGTTTACTCTTCTGTTTTACTTATAAGGCGGTTCGACGATATATTGTAAACAAGTAAATGGCAGCAACTATTTTATATTTAATAGATTGAACTGTAAATATTGAACTGTAAATAATAGAAGAAAAGAGAATCCAAACATTTTTAAATTATAATAAATAACTATTTATAATAAATATTAAGAGATCAAGAAAATATTCTTTTTACTGCGATCACAAAAAATACTTACTTTCCTTTTTTAATAAGGTATCTTCCAAGCAAAGTATCTAACACTGGATCTAAATTTTCTTCAATATTTTCCAATAATACTATTGCTCCTTCTGTTATACATCTTTCAATAACGTCTAAATAGCTCTTTTGTCCTAATCGAATAACTCTTAGATCGTCTCCGTATCTTTGTTTTATCCATTTTATACCTTGCAACTATAACAGAAATTGGTTTATGTTTTTTTAGAAGACAACGTTTTTAGATGTTTAACTGCAATTAATCATAAAACAATAGGATTCTTTGAATAAAACAAAACAAAAATCAATTTTCAAAACCATCTTTTATAAAAAGGTCGTTGAAAAATAAGGTATTAAAGGCATTAATGGACACTTAATTTTCTTTATACAGAGCTTAATACACTTAAGCATATACAAGCGTTTTGCAGAAAGCAAAAGTCTTGCACTATCAGAAGAACAACAAACTTTTAGGTCGGAAAGATCAGGCACCGATGCTTTATTTTTAATGAGGCAAGTGCAAGAGAAATCGTTAGAATACAACAAGCCGGCATATCTATATTTCATGGACCTTTAGCAGGCATTTGACCGGGTCAAATTAAACGGCGTTATCCACTATTTGTACGCCCTTTAGGAATAACCAGAACGATCGAAAATATCTACCAAATCTACACAATAATAGTAAAAGTAGAAGAAAAACTATCTGACCCTATTGAAGATGGAAGAGGAATAAAATAATAAAAAAAGTAAGAACTGGAAAAGTAGACCAAATGGAAGAAAAATAACTTAAAATAATCTGCTATGCAGACGTCGCAATATAACTCTCTCAAAGTGAAGACGATTTACAACGTATGCCTCACCAATGCAATATAACCGTCAGAAAAGTTAATATTATAATTTTCCCAATAAACAGAAAATGCATGGTTATAACAGCAAATTTACTAAGATGTAAATTGGTGCTGAAAGATCAGATAATAGAACAAATAATGGAGTTTAAATATCTAGGCATCACATTATCTAGTTACGGAAAGCTCCAAACAGAGTGGAAGATTAAGTGAATAGAGCAAACAGGGCCGCAGGTTGAAGAAATGAAACAATATGGAGAAATAAAAATATTGGGAAAGAAATAAAAAGCAGAATTTACAAAACAGTCATGCAGATAATGACATACGTGGCAGAAATACGACCTGACTCAGAGAGGATAAAATGATATTAGAAACAGCAGGTAAACCCTGTGTTATGTTGATATCCATAGTGGCCAAACAACCATACGTGTCGTACTCTGTCTTCCATTTCAAGGTGTCAATTGTCGTTTTGTATCAACTTATTTGTAGCTGTGGCCTCGCTTCTACTCAACATCTTCAGACGTGTTGTTTTAGAGAGAGACACACGTCGCTTGATAATTGAAGACATTTGTTAGAAAGAGATACAACTAATCGGTAAAAGCGTTAAAAATTTAGGTTAAAGTTAGAGGTTTGTTTATATGTAAACATCGTGTCGTATATCGTATAACCGTATCGTATAAATCTTATTTTTTGGTATTTTTTACTTCAATGGAGTTGGGAATTTTGATTTTATTTGCAAATGTCTCAATAATGGCTTCAATTATTTCAACAATTGCCCTAGACATTATTTGTTGAGACACTGCAACCTGTAAATTTTGCCCTATAGTTTTTTGGTAGCTACCAGTAGCAAGAAATTGGAGGGTACCAAAAAACTTTATTGCAACTGGAACTGCCACAACATTATTATTAATAAGCATATTTTGCATGATTCCATTTAATATATCTCTTGCTATATCTTTGCTTAAACGATACAATCCTTTAAACTGAATATCTGTTAGTTCATTGAAAGGATCACTTTCATCTCTAAGTAAACGCCTATTAATGTTAATACATTAATCTTAATACTCGTAGCCTCTCCTCATCCTCAAAAACTAATACATTCATATTGTTCACAGGCAACATTAACACTCAGTATGCCTTACCTACTAAATAAACTACTTTTAAAATAAATTAAATTGCAAAATACTTAGTAACACCAACACGAAAATGTCACTAAAATTATAAAGTCTAAAATTAAAAATGTTGCATTGTAATTGGATATAATTTTTTAATAAAAAACGAGTAACCAATAACAATATACTTTTACAAAGAGAATCTTGAATCTGTATATCTACCTTAACTATTGCCAATATTAGAAACACAAATAACAATGAATGTTTTTGGAGTCAATAACAAGATCTCGAAAATATCCGAAGCAAAAGCGACACTGACACAGAGTACCAAATAATGTGATGTAGTGTATACCAAATAGAGTAATGAGATGTAGTAATGAAAGTCGCAATGAAATATCCATTTCTACATGTTGCAAGCAACATGACACAGGATTCCACAGCAGCAAGGATGAAACGACTTAAATATATTGATAGTAAAATACTATATTGTCGATAGATATACGACATAGAAGCAAGATGGAGAACATCAAGGACTGGGTAAAAGAATAGAATAGTAAAATGGAACGATCATATGAGCCGAATTACCACAAATAGAGTAGTAAAGACGGCAAAAGACCATTCCTCAATAGAAAGACGATCAGTAGGAAAACCACGAAAAGATGGAACGACAACTTACTAGAGGCACATTGAGGAAAACAGTCAGAAAAACAAGAAAGATTTTAAAAATATATTGGTCAAAATTTAGTTGAAATTCTGGAGATAATAACAAAAATCTCTTCATCGGTCTTAGGCAAAGATTTTTTTGAGCTCAGACAAGTGTGCTAAGAACATCAGGTACAACTTTGTGTTCCTCTGTAGCAGAGCATTTAGCTCCAGTTTGGATTTGCTCTGCTCACACTAGCCATGTTGATCACATCATTAATTAGACGGCCCGAATAAATCTATTCCAGTTCTTGACTTACTGTTACTGTTACTGTTAATCGGAATTGCTCCTCTATATATTAGAAGGAAAGTGATTTCTAAGATCAAGAAGTAGAACCTGGATAAAGACTTACGCCATCCATGTTGAGCCAGCGAAGGCAACCATCAGAGTTAAAATCACCCAGGAACTTCGTGAATACCACGCTTCCAATCGAAACCACAGCTGAACGACGTTGCCTACAGCTTTAGAGAGGGGCGTCGGTTGCTGGTACTTTAACACCAAAAGAAAAGATAATTATTACATAGTTTGGACTTTACCCTGGCATTTATTCATCTTGACCTAATGGCAACTAATGACAAGGCCATCTGAGTGACGAAACATTGGCAATATCAAATCTAAAGAAGTGATCTGGATAAGGAAAGTAAGTATTATTGCTCTTAGCATAAATGAAAGAGACAGGCAAAAAAATGGATATATTTCAATCTGCATGTATTAACATATTCGCTTGTTTAATTATCTTTTCTACTGTGTTTATAGATACTCAAGTAGCTTCCGTAATGTCCGATACTCAAGTTGTTTCAGTGAGTAATACAATATTTTACGGTTTCGACAAAAAAATCTTCTCAAAATGTTTAATATTGCAACGCTGCTGCATAACGGTTGCTATTTTCTATGCCTGCCACTGCATTTGAAACCAGCTATACATTTAAAAATTAAAGTATACTAAAGCAGTAATCGAAGCATGCATAAGAATGTTGGACTAATGGACTGGAGGATGACAAAAAGAGCGTGGGAAACAAGCGTGTAAATAACGAAAAAAAATCAAAGAAAACTATGCAACAATATTATAATAGCTAAAATTTTGAAAAGAAACGACTTACCTAGAAGCCAAAATAAAAGCTATGACGGAAAATGATGAACAAAGACACAATATAATAGAAATAATACACCAATGTAACCATCACTTCCACATAGTAAAAGACGATGGAAGAGAAAAAAGGGGAAAATTTGACAATTACTAGTTTTAAAATAAAATATCTATAGCTATTATTCACCTGCGGATCGATCATCAGGGGCCACCTTTCGGAATTAGATAAGATCGTTGCATTTTCTATCGACATGCGATCACTTGGTAATCCCTCATTTTGCCATTTTGCTACGATGGTATCATCGGTCAGTAAAGAAAGAGGATCTAGATCTTCTGTAAGAGGAACTTTAGGCTGAAATGAAATTTAAATCTGATTATCTAATAATTCTACGTTTATTTTATACGTCGGCGGTCCGAGTACTTAGCGTCACCGCCCAATGAGGCCACTATCTCAAAAAAAATCTACTATCGTGTAATACATTCTCTTAGATAACTAATGTCAAAATTTTAGCCTAATTAAACTCGTAGTTTTGTTTTGACGCGTGTGAAAGCGGGCTTGTCCGTGGATTGTAGAAAAATGAAAAAAAAAAAAAAATATCGGTAGATGATTCAATTTTTGTTTTTGCGAGGAAAATCGCGCAGCGAAATCAAAGAGTCTATGCTATGTATGGTAACTATTATCCTTTGAGACAACTTTCAAAAATTGGTTTAACGAGTTTCGATGGGGTCGCACGTCGGTTTTGATGAGCCATGCCCAGGTACCCTGAAATCGACTACCACGGAGGATAAGGTGACAAAAATCCACGATCTCGTATTGGCACACCACCGATTGAAGGTACGTGAGATATTTGAAACAGTAAGCATCTCAAAAGACTAAGTATGTCATATCCTGCGTGAAATTTTTTTTATGAAAAAGCTGTCGGCGGGATGATTGCCGCATTTGCTCACTCCGAACAACAAACTTAACCCTGAGACCATTTCCGAGCAGTGCTTGACGCTATTTAAGCATAATCTGAAGGAGTTTCTACGTTGTTTCCTAACCATTGACGAAACATGAATCCATTGGTATATACCAGGGACCAAAAAACAGTCGAAACAGTGGTGGCACCCGGTGAACATGCTCCGAAAGAGGCGAAGACTGTCCTATCGGCCGGAGAGGTGGTGGCCACAATTTTCTGGTACTCACAAGGGTGGTCTACCGATAAGGATAAATTGCAGAAAAAACGATCTCATTTAGCGAAGAAAAAAGTGCTCTTCCACCATGACAACAAAGCCGCTCATACCTTGCCGTCGCCATGACGAAATTGGTCGAATTGAGCTACGAACTGTTACCTTATCCACCATATGTTCTAGATTTGGTCCCGTGTGAGTTCTTTTTGTTTCCAAACTTGAAAAAGGTACTCATCGGGAAAAATTAAAGTCGAAACAGGAGGTCATCGCCGCCACGGAAGCCT